TTCGACACCTGTAATGACTGTAATGACTTGTAATGAATGTATGTGTAACAGACTGAGAACATGCATGTTTATACATGAAATTATACGCTATCAGCAGACTTGTGCCTGGTTCCCAAGATTTCTTCCCGGGAACCGGTTCCTGGTTCCTGGTTCCGTAGAAAGAAGTGCAAGTAGAAAGAAGTGCAATGATAAGGTAAGAGTGTAGGCGTGATAACCTAATGATGTGACGTCACTGGCATTCGACTGTGTATGGTGTCACTTGTGATCAGATTTTACGGCCTCTTTTGGGCCGACGAAAGGTCATACGACATTAACTGAAGATGTGACGTCACTGGTACCCAAATAAAATTCAGGCGGGACAGGCCATGCTTCATCTTTACCTTTGGTACCTGTCCATTGCAAGCATTTGAATGCTGAAGGAAGGCTCTGCCGAATTACCTGAGTGTGTAACGTCACTAACCATTAATTTATATAGACTGCTTTGAACCCACCGTAAGCCACACCACATCAGCTGACCATATGACGTCACCGGTTTTCGTCTAGATGTCATGCGCAACAGACCAATGCTCTATCTTTGCCTTTCGTACCCGTTTACTGCAAGCATTCGCGTGCTATATCAAGGTGATGCCGAACCATCTGAGTGCGTGACGTCACTGGTCATGAGTTTATACAGGCTCACTTGGGCAGCCCAATGCAACAAAGCATCATATCCTGTGAAGCATCGCGGGATGATATGACGTCACCGGTATTCGACTCAGCATCAAGCGCAACAGGCCACGTTCCATCTTTACCTTTCGTACCTGCCTACTGCAAGCATTCGCGTGTTATATCACGTCAATGGTTAAGAGTTCTTACGGGCTCTTTTCAACCCCCTATATGGTATAATGCTTCAGCTGACGATATGATGTCACTGGTGTTCGACTTAACATCAGGCACAACATGTCATGTTCCAACCTTGCCTTTCGCACCTGTTAAAGTATTGGCGAGCCTAATGATGGCTCTGTCGAATCACCTGAGTGCGTCGTCATGAGTTTTTACAGGCTATTGTTGGCCGAGTGAAAGCCATAAGGCATCATCTAACGATATGTCGTCACTGGTAATCCACTAAGTGTGTGACGCCATTGGTCATGAGTTTCCCCGGGCCTTTTTGGGCCGACTTAAGGCCATTAGGCATCAGGTAACGATATGACGTCACTGGTATTCAATTACGCATCAGATACAATATGTCAAGTTTCATCTTTACCTTCCGCACCTATCTACTGCAAGTATTCGCGCGCCACATAAAGGCTCTGCCCAATCACCTGAGCGTGTGGTGTGACTGGTTATGAGTTTACGCGGGTTTACTCGGGCTGACTGAAGGACATCAAGCATCATCTGGCGATGTGACGTCACTGGTATTCAACTTAACACCAGGCGCGACAGTCCATGTTCGTCTTTACCTTTCGTACCTGTCTATTGTAAGCATTGACATGCTTAAGGAAAGCTCTGTGAAATCTCCTGAGTGTGTAATGTCACTGGTCATGAGTTCTTTATGGGCTGCTTTTTTGTACCTATAGGGTACAAGACATCAGTTGACGATATGACGTCACTGGTATTTGACTTAATCTCAGGCGCAACAGGCCATGTTCCATCTTTGCCTTCCGCACCTCTATAATGCAAGTATTCGCGCGCCACATAAAGGCTCTGCCGAATCACCTGAGCATGTGGTGTAACTGGTCATGAGTTTACGCGGGCTTACTCGGGCTCACTGAAGGACATCAAGCATCACCTGACCATATGACGTCACTGATATTCGGGCTGTGGCCCAGACTTATGACCGCTAGGCGGTGCCCTTGATTATTATTTAGCCATTAGGGCATTCCGGACCGTAGCTGCTCAGGGGCGCATCCTGTGATGTCGGGCGGAATAGCTTTGCATATACGTCGGTTTGTGGGCTGGGATCACCTTTGTTTTGTGTTTACGTTTGTTCAAAATTTTAGTCGTTGAAACAGCCTGTTGCGTTTGAAGTTGCTACTTAATGGTGCGCACAATAAAATTAGTGTGCTTAACTATGGTGCATCTCCCACCTCTGCTGCGGAATTTCGTAGCCATAGGTGGCCAAGTGACCTCCTACCAACTGATGATCAGTGACGTCACATACTCAGGTGATTCGGCGGAGCCTTTATATAGCACGCGAATATTTGCAGCAGCCAGGTACGAAAGGCAAATATGGAACATGACCTGTTGCGCCTGATGTTTAGTCGAGCACCAGTAACGCCATGTCGTCAGCTGATGCATTATAACCTATAATGGGTTCAAAAGAGCCCATAAAAACTCGTGACCAGTGACGTCACACACTCAGGAGATTCGACGGAGCCTTCATTCAGCACGTCAATACCTTTAATAGACAGGTACGAAAGGTAAAGAAAGTACGTGGCATGTTGGACCTGATGTTAAGTCGAATAACAGTGACGACATATCATCCTGTGATGCTTCACGGGCCTTTGTGGCCTTGGGCGGCCCAAGTGAATCCGTATAAACTCATGACCAGCGACGTCACCCACTCAGATGATTCGTCTGGAGTTTAGTCGATTACCAGTGACGTCATATCGTCAGCTGATGCTTGATGTCCTTCAGTCAGCCCGAGTTAACCTGCACAAACTCATGACCAGTTACACCACACGCTCAGGCGAATCGACAGAGCCTTTTTGTAGCGCACGAATACCTGCAGTAGGCAGATGCGAAAGGTAAAGATGAAATATGGCTTATTGCAACTGATGTTAATTCGAATACAAGTGACGCCATAACGTTATCTGATGCCTAATGGCCTGAACTCGGCCAAAAAAGGCCCGTAAAAGCTCATGAACAGTGACGTCACACACTCAGTGGATTACCAGTGACGTCATTTCGTTAGCTGATGTCTTATGGCTTTCGCTCAGTCAAAAATAGTCGTAAAAATTCATGACCAGCGACGTCGCACACTCAGGTGACTCGGCAGAGCCATCATTTAACGCACCAATACTTTACAGGTACGAAAGGCAAAGATGAAACATGACCTGTTACGCCTCATGTTAAGTCGAACACCATTGACATCACGTCGTCAACTGATGCATTTTTCCCTATAGAGGGTTCCAAGGAGCCAGAAAAAACTCATGACCAGTAACGTTACACACCCAGGAGACTCGACAGAGCCTTCATTCAGCACGTCAATACTTGTAATAGACGGGTACGAAAGGTAAAGATAGAACATGGCCTGTCGCGCCTGATGTTAAGTCGGACACCAGTGACGTCATATCGTCAGCTGATGCATTATACCGTTTGGGGGTACAAAAGGTCCCGTAAAAAGCTCTTGACCAGTGACGTTACTTACTTAGGAGACTCGGCAGAGCCTTCATTCAGCACGCCAATACTTCCAAGAGACAGGTACGAAAGGTAGAGATGGAACATGGCCTGTCGCGCCTGGAGTTTAGTCGAATACCAGTGACGTCATATCGTCAGCTGATGCTTGATGTCCTTCGGTCAGCCAGAGTAAACCCGCGTAAACTCATAACTAGTTACACCACACGCTCAGGTAATTCGGCAGAGCCCCTATGTGTCGCGCGAATACTTGCAGTAGATAGGTGCGAAAGGTTCAGACGAAACATGGCTTAGATAGAGCATGACCTGTTGCGCATGATGTCTAGTCGAGACCTAGTGACATCATATCGTCAGCTGATGCCTTGTGGCCTATAGTAGGTTCAGAATAGTATACAAGTTAATGGTCAGTGACGTACACACTCAGGTAATTTGGCAGAGCCTTCCACGGCAATGCTTGCAATGGACAGGTACCAAAGATAAAGGTGGAACATGGCCTGTCGCGCCCGAAGTTCATTCGAATACCAGTGACGTCACATCGTCAGTCAGTGCCGTATGACCTTCCGTCGGCCCAAAAGAGGCCGTAAAATCTCATGACCAGCGACACGCACAGTCGAATGCCAGTGACGTCACATCGCTAGCTGATGCTTTATGGCCTTCAGTTGGCCGCAAAAAAATCCGCCAATACTTGCAGCAGACATGTACGAAAGGTATAAATGGAGCATGACCTGTTGGCTGATGTTCAGCCAAATACCAGTGACGTCATATCGCCAGCTGATGCCTTACGGCATTTCGTCGGTCCTAAAGGACACGTGGAAACCCACGACCATTGACGTCTTACAATCAGTCGTATAGCAGTGACGTCGTTAGCTGACACCTTGTGGTCTTCAGTTGGCCGAAAAGCACTGGTGGAACTCGTGACCAGTGACGTCACACACTCAGGTGGTTCGGCGGCTTTCATCCTGCACGCCAATGCTTGCAGTAGACGGATACAAAGGTCAAAATAAAGCACGGCCTGTTGCGCCCAGTATTTATTCGAATACCAGTGACGTCACGCTATCCGGTGATACTTCGCAGACCATGACACACCGTGGTCGTAGGGCCTAAGTGCACTCGTATGAAGTGATGATTAGGGACGTCACACATTGAGGTGATTCGGTCAAACCTTTATGCGGCACGCAAATGCTTGCAGCAGACAGGTACGAAAAGTAAAGATGGAACGAGGCCGGTCGCGCCTGATGTTTAATCGAATACCAGTGACGGCACATGGCCAGCTGATGCATTACGGCATTCAGTGGACCCAAAAGAGCCTTACAAACTCACGACCAGTGACGTCACATACCCAGCCGAATACCAGTGACATCATATCACAATCAAAAGCCTTATGGCCTTCAGTCGGCCCGAAAGAACCCCCATCCCGATCGATGCAAAACCATTTTCAAAGACGTCACAATGTCAGCCGATGCCTCACAGCTTTTCCCCCGCACGACAATACTCGAAACCCTGCAGCTAGCGTAGCTCTTCGCTCCGTCGGCCATACAGGTACCAAAGTAAAAAATTGCCGTAATTTCCTACCTCATGTTACAAAAGAACATTGTACATCAATCGTTGTTCTTAAGGCACAACATATCATAATTAATTGTAAAACAGGTCATCTATACCCTTACCTTGGAACTTAATTAACTACGATACTGAACACCCGACCGCCGCAAACACACACCAGCCGCGACACCGACTGCCGTTATTGCGCGCGGTCACAACATTACAGCGCATCAAGCAGCATCAAGAACCATAAAAATGTACCGGGCCAAGGTAACAAGAATCCATGAAATTTGATCCTCGACGCCAACGGGACGATGGGTTGCAGCGGATTGAGTGGGGAATGTAAAGCAAAATGAGGACATGGCGGCTAAATAAAAGCTCACTATATGGTACCTATATATGGCATGGAACATGAACGCCAATGGGACGGTTTTGTTTTGTACAAGAACCAATGGGAACCAGGATCCAGCACAATGCTTTGTCGAAATATCCATTGGGGGCCAGGATCTAGGGTTTTGTTTTGTCGAAAGAGGCCAGCGAGAACCAGGATCCAGGGTCACGTTTCGTTGAAAGAACTAGTGAGAACCAAGATCCAGGGTCTTGTTTTATCAAAAGAACCGATGGGAACCAAGATCCAGGGTTTTACTTTGTCGAAAGATCCAGTGGGAACAAGGATTCAGGGTCTTGTTTTATGAAAAGAACCAGTGGGAGCCAAGATCCAGCATCTTGTTTTGTTGAAAGATCCAGTGGGAACCAGGATCCAGCATCTTGTTTTGTCGAAAATACCAGTGAGAACCATAATCCACCATCTTGTTTCTTCGAAAGAACCAGTGGGAACCAGGAACGAATATTAGGAACCAGGCACATGTCTGGCTATCAGTTTTACAAATATCATATACAAGAGGCTACACGCGTCATACTCGTTCATCTAACCCCAGCTAACATTCGCTACTGACAACAGAAGGTCATTGACCCGGATGACTTCATAGGCACCTGCATGTCCTGGCGTTGTTTTGTAGAATACACTCATACAAGCAGGCCATGACCTGGGTCAAGGTCATGTGCTCGGCGGTCACGTGATAGTTGTACATGTAAGTTAATGCTCCTTTCCCCATCTAAAAACGCCAAAACTACGCAAAATGCGTGCAAGCTTGCATTATTTATAAAAGGTAACACAAATTTAACCTGACTTTATTGCGATCACCTGGTACGTTTCAAAAGATATGCACTATTCAAACTGTAAGTGCTATCATTTGCTAATACTAAAGCAGGTTTGACAATCGCAAATAACCCACAATAAAGGTTTGTGTGGTTCACAAATTTTTGTGGGTTGACCTCTTTGACCTGAACTAGGTAACTGACCTCGGCAGCTCAAGACTTCCAGTTCGCACAAAAGAAAACAAATTAATAGATGCATAGATACTGGGAATGCGGCGTTGCTGCAAGCGTTAATTTTTAGTTGTTTTTCATCCCCCGACCAGGTGCGGGCTAAGCCTGAAGGTAACCTTGAGCTTTTAAAGGATCGCTGGTTTGTCCAAGTGGACGTGGTTCTTCAGGATATCCACGGCACGACTTCAGAGGCTACAGGTCGGGCGAGTAAGAGCCACAGCAGGGCACTCTTAAGCTGTTGTGCATTCCAGCGAAACGATTCTCGAACCAATCCAGTGAAGCCAGTACCGTCTGCGGCGTCGCCCCGTCCTGCTGGAGACCGTTTTCGTCTCCACTAACCACTTGCCGCTGTTGAATAAAACATGGGCGAACATTGATCTTGGATATCTTGCACACACAGAAGTTTCATACTGACGCGGCCTGATAATTTTACCTTTCTACGACTTTTTTGCGAACCTGATATGCTGTTAAGCCGAGAGCTTGCGGCACAATCGGGGGTTCTAATTTAGTGCTCGGTGATTCCGTTCTCACGGGAAAAGGAATACTTTAGCACATCTACGTTCACGCGTCTGGGGATCAGAGGACATACGCTCCGTTCTCTCCCCTTGTGATATGAGGACTGCTTTCTTGGAAGCCATGGTGGTGTGATATTGCAAAGCGGTAGGATTGGGGTAGCCATGTTTTTTTAAGATTCATTTCAAACCTTTTGAAAAGATGCATTTCTGGGATGAGCACTTATGAGCCAAACCTTGAAAATTCATTCCATAATCTGTATATGTATTTTATTATTCCCTTCATTTTACCTAGTTTTTACTTCATAAGCCATAAGCCTCAGCACTGTGTGTTTGGTGTACTCTGGCCTTATCATTAAAGTCCGGGTCAACGGCACAATTTTTCAACGAAAGCTTAACTTACCGCGATGATGGGTACGGTCTCTTCCGCCCTCATTTGTTCCCTATAGGGCGGTCACTGCCACAGGTCGCAGGCTATTCCAGTCGGGAACAAAAAACAAATGTAAAAGCGACTGGAACACACCCCACTACAGGTAAGTGAATCGCAAAGCCGGCGCTCTAACCAGTTGGGTTACCGGGACCAACCAAAGTACAGTGCGAGAGGGAACGGCTTAAAGAACAGTGCGGTGGCGCATCTCTCGCCTACTTGTACCACAAGAAGAGAGACAAGGTATGGAATCAACCGATTTTGTTCGAAGTGTGTGAAAGTAAGAGAAATATTGTTGAGCGACTTTTTACAAAGGAATGTACCACACACACAGCTTCTTAGCGTCTAGTTTCCTCCATACAGCCAACACTTTTTTGGTTCCATCGCTTTAACATCTTTGTCCCGATATACTGAAGGCTGACTATTTTAAACATGAGAACTCCTAGCTCTTCACCCGAAACATGAAGATTCCAGGCTTTTATTGCTTGTATGAGCTTCCATCTCGTGTTGAAGTGTTGACCACCCCACATTTTACGACGGTGACTCTGGAGACCCATTTGGTTCCCAATCTTCACATATTTTGTCCTTCCCGTCATTGAGGTTGCCTTTGAAAGGGTCGTCTATGGTCAGTTTTGTTCTAAAATATGGGTGTATTGTGGTCATGCACTCGAAAATGTGCTATAGGCTCTCATCCGTACGTGTCAGGCCACCCCATTCTACATAAAACCGCCCTTTTGCACCCCAGAGCACCTTTGAAGGCCGATGGACACCTAAGCTCTATTCATACGCTGGGCGAGCGCCGTGTGGGCAACAAAAAGTCCCCGCCCCTTGTTCAGTGCACGCACCGGACGCGTGGGCGCAATACTGATCGGCCTGCCCGAATTTTTGTGTTGTTTAAGTACCGTTCGTGCCTCCTGCTATTGCAGTTGTACTATTTTGATTACAACCAGTGTGACAACGCTGCAAGTACTTTTCCATTTGCACTTTAAAATGGTAATCTCATAGGCAGATTTAGAGCATTCTAGATGCAAATTAATAAAGAATAGGGGTCTCTTGTTTAGCCACACATGCACCTCACTCAGTAGGCTGTAAAGGAGTGTTTATCCGGGAAAAAGCCGTGGTGTCTTACCTTTTTCATCACGAAGGTGGATCACCGATGTGGCCTGGCCTTGCATACCCCTAAATTTGTAAGCATGCTCAACTAGGGTTGAGAATTGTTTACTCTAGTGACTGGTCGGATCGTGCGGTATTTATTGGCGCAGTGTGAGTATAACCTTCCAACTGACACGTTCTGTTTGAAGTGCGCGACAAGAAAATGTGACTCACTGGCTGCGGATCTCACATTAAGTTGAGTTAGATCAAATTAGATTTGTGTTCTAAAACAGCTGCCAAAATAATTCGGAAACGTTTTTATGTTAATTTGGCAGTTTTGTAACAGCAATGACGTAGACAAAAATATTCTTGTCGACCTAATACAACTTGAACAGATAGATAATATTGCAACAGATAATATTGCTGACGAGGTCCTAACCCGTTTGGAGCATGCCACAAATGGATATAGGTGGTTAAGTCGCTACTCACCCAACAGCGGTCTCCCTATGATGTCCTTGGACTGCGTCTTGCGTGATAACGCGACAATTTTCAGAAAAATAGTAGCCTATGGAGAGATGTTTCATAACGTCCTGCGAGACACCATCGAAGTTTTTCCGTCTCTCTTGAGGCGTTGCATCTTCAGCAAACCCCCGAAACGGTGGACAATGCATTTACGAACGCGGTGTCGTTTTCAAGGTGGCAAATAAATTGAGTACATGTTAAAGAATATTGCCCAATTCTTCTATACAATGTATCGCATACAAAGGTCTTTGTCATCACTGTACTTGATTAACACACGCAGAGATGTGACGGAGGTCATCCTAACGGCATGGACAAGGAATTACAACTGTTCTCACATGAACAGACATGGATTTTTCTAGCTTTAGACATTAGTGTGTCTAGCTGCTCCAAGGTGCACATTGGAATCATGATTGCGGGACTCGTAAAGCATTAATCAATCATGAATCGCGAGGCGAGACGAATGACGAGCAGTTTGGGTCTGATTTTCCTGCCAATTAGTATCGAAGGATTTCTGACGTGCATGTAAAGTCATACGCACAGCCGCCCTGCGTCAGACTGACCTTGGTAAGTTGCTGATCTGACCTTCAACAAGCACGCAAGCACCGCTTCTGGGACGCCAGCGCGCTGTCTTCCACGATCGTCACATGTGGGGCGCGACGCCAGCCGAGTCACGGGGACGGTTATACCCCGGGATGACTGACCCGGACGGCCCAGACCTGTCCAGAAGGGTGCTGGATACCGATAGCGCTGTGGCTAAGCTGCGCGTCCGGGACACCTGAGGAACGGTGTTCGATTCCCCGCGGTGCCCGCCCTTCCCACCAGGGTGAGAGCCTGGCGACGTCATGCAACCTCACTAACCGAGTGCATCGTAAAGTCCTAATGACAACAAGCGCTCGTCTGGGGCAGCTCAGTAAAGACAGCCAGGCGCCCGCCGCCGGACCGTTTCGCCAGCCTGATGCGTGCCGACGGGCGTAAGAGGTCTGCGGTCCCGACGGACTAGCGCAGGAGGTACACAGAGCGGGAACCCATGGGACACCATCTTACGGCCCAGAAGCAGAGGTTTGCGCAAAATCACCGACAGTTTTCTAGAGAACTCTTCTCTGAAGTGTGTAATACAGCTTAAGGAAAAATCACATATACTGGAGAAAGCAAAGTCATCCGCCGTCTCGAATGGTGATGCCATCCCGCCAACGAGTCGGTGTGTCGGAGCCACAGAATCGATGAACACGAGCTCCGGATCAACGGCAC